GCAATTTAGTCCTTAAACATGTATAAAATTATTGAAAAGATCTTATTTTACTTTGTAATCTAATTTAACCCCTAAACTTATTTAAAATAATTTCAAAAAATCATATTTGACATTTTGAGTCAATTTAACATCTAATTCTTCATTGTACTTATAATGTGAAAATCATTAAATAGACATTAAAACTGCAATTGGGATCGAGCTGACTAATTTATTAAAAAGTTAATTAATTATAAAATATTGAAAAATGATATATGAAGTATATTGTATCTCTTTTTACCTTGATTGATGATTTTGAGTTTATAAATATGTATTAGTTTGAACATTTTAAAATTAATCTCTATTACTGGGTTATCGCTTATGAAATACATACACTTTTCATGTTAAATAAATTAAAGTTATAATGCATATGTTTATAAATTTATTATGTTACAAGAAATGATGTTTTGTGAATTTTAAATTTGTATTCGATAGTGTTGGAAAAGTTTGATATGAGTGTTTTTAGTGTTGGATAAAAAGAGATAAAAAGTCAATCATATTAAATTAAATAAATTATTAAATTTATAAAAATAAAAACAAGTTCAAGGTTAAATTACCAAGTAAAATTGGATATTTTTAATCATTTTATAGATGTTCAAGGACTAAATTGGTCTAAAAGATCAATTCTAGCCTTTTTAATCATGCTAAACAAGTTCAAGAACCAAATTAATTTTTATTCGTTCTAATTTCTAAACATGCATGTGGGAGTAAAAATCTCATTTTTGCAATTTTTAATTAACAACTTGATTTTTTTTTTATTTCATTAAAATGCATTTCAATGCCTAATAGCTAGTTTAGATCGACTTACTAGTGATTTAGAGCAAGAAACAAGAGAAACTAGAAAAATTTAAAAAAAATTATAAAATCAAATGTTAATATGGATTCATTTCCATAAATGATTGTTGCAGTAATCTGACCTTACAATAATAAATATATGGAAAGATTAGATGGGCTCACATAAGAGTTCAATTTTGGGCGGAGAGATTTGAAAATGTTAAAATAATACTGGAAATTTGGCTAAATTTTGTGTTGACACTAGTCAATGGAGATGTAACTCCATTGAAACCTTCCTCACAAGTCTCAGAACTGGTCATCCCAGCACTAATCCATGTATTAACATCATTATAAGCCTTAGCATCAACAGCAGCCGTTGATTTCTTAATCTGATCAAGAGCGCTCTGATAGACCTCAGAGCAATCTGTTTCTGTTAAAGCCTGCTTTACAGATGCATCTGAACTTGTTTCGAGCAATTTAGGGATGAGCTTCAATATTTCATTGGCATTCAATGATGCTACGTCTAGTGCACTTTTTGTCAAGCTTTGCATGTCACTTGCTGTGGCTGACGCTAGGGCTTCTTTGCAGAAATCCTTGTATAAGGTTTTTGTCACATGATTGGATTAAACAATTCTGAGGCTTGTGACTAGTAGCAATCATTGGGCGAAAAGTAGGACAATGAAAAAGATTTCGAAAGACAATGATGTTTCGTCGGATTTTTATCTCTCGGCCACATTATTTTTTTATTTGCGTCTTGTTATATTGTCAATGAAAATCTTTCTCGTGGGAATTTTTCTTTTTGCCTTCTTCTTGTATTGATAAACAATAGTTTGGGTATTTTAAGGTTTGTTTTTAACTATTTTTCTATATTTGGATTTGATTGTTAAAGAATAGGAAGAAAATAAGGAGGTAAAAACAGCAGGTGTGTGGAGAACCAATAACAGGCAAAAAATAACAGAAAACTATTGATTCTCAAATTACAAAAGTCCAATGTTATTTCTGGTTTCTGGATTGGTCTATATATGGCCAGTTTTATTCAACAAAGTTTATCTTGTGCAATTGAGTGGAATCATATAATCCTAATTACTACTGGAAGTGTATGAACATATTAAACAAAATTGTAATTAAATTGAGGTTTATTTGCGCAATATCTTTCCCGCAAAGCATACGAGAATAAATTCTTTGTTTTTTGTTCGAAAGAAGTATTTCAAAATGTGGAAGTGTTAATTTCTATAAAAATAATTCAGGAATAAATGTTTTTATTTTTGAATAAAAATTTTATAATAGCAAGCATCTATAATTTTGAGAATAGATATTAAGAAAAAAATGCCATGGTAATAATTTTTTAAGTTAAAATTAGAGACAAATTATACGAGGTATATATATAATCTTATCATCAAACTATTGTAATATTTGAAATGATATTTAAATGTTAGGAAAGAAATAAAAAACTCAAGCTGGAGAAATATTTGTATTATTTTTATTATATTTGTTGGTATGAGAATATATGTTAAATGTGAATTCGCCATGATTTTAATATTGTTAAATGTGAATTTCGCCATGATTTTTTAACGCTACTTGATCGGTCATGAATTCACCCATACTAATTTATTAATAAACGATTTAATTAAAGTGAATGAAATCGCAGGGAATTTATTATTCATCCATACAATATGGTAAAACCAATAAAATAAAAAAATATGGCTTATAGGATAGTTACTTGTTCACATGTGAAAAAAATTGTTCTCATATGTGAACAAAAATTACATATGATGGAGTACTCAATAAAAAGCAAAAGTTTATTCTCAAAATATAAAGATATGATATATATTATTAAATCTCAATTATTATTTATTCCATTTACATAGGTTGTGAAAAAAAATACTTAGAAAAAATCAAATAGAAAGAAAAGATTTATCAGAGTATTAATAATTTTTATCCAAAAAAAATCACATAGATTAACTATGCTATCTATATAATAAGTCAAACTAAATACTTATATATAGGATATTTACTTTGTTTCGTATGACCGTACTAATTTTATAAAATTTACTTTAAATTATATATACTTTTCCATTTTGAGAATAATGTTATTGGGTAATTATTTTTATTTTAAGGAAAGAGAACAACTTATTTTTATTAAATTAACTTATTTTTATTAAATTCTCTCTCTCTACAAAAAAAAAAAGATTTTCATTAAAAAAAACAAAGCAAAAGACTAAAGAATTTTTCATTTTCAAATCATATTAGGAATGGTATTATTGGATAATAGCTAAATAATCTTTTTTTTTTCTTTACGAATAAAAAGACAACAAAAGATAAGCTTAAGTTCTATGCATATATACAAAAAAAAAAAAAAAAAAAAAAAAAAAAAAAAAAAAAAAAAAAAAAAAAAAAAACACAAAAAAAAAAAACAAAAAAGAGAGATATAAAGATATAATCTTAACTGAAAATATATATGAATCTTACTTCAACAGCTAGCTTAGAAAGTTTCAAGATATTGGAAACCAACTATGAAAAAAAATCAAGAATTGCTTGCCTCTATAACCAGTTTTAGAATCATAAGCGGCTCTGAAAAATCTAAAAAGGCCATGGCTGAAAGCTTAAGTTCTACTCTCATTATCAATCTTTTATGTGTTGCTTTCTTTGTCATTTCTACTACGGCAGCTAGAAATGGACTGGAAAATCCATTAGACGCCACCATATTAGGCAAAGATGATGTTTCCTTTACGGGGACTAACTTCACTTAGGTCTGTGACCCTTCTAGGTATGCTGCCCTTGGATTGGACATGGCAAATTTTTCCTTCTGTGACAAGCCCCTTCCCTGTGATGCTAGGGCTAGAGACTTGGTAAACCGTATGACATTGCAAGAAAAGGTTCAACAGCTTGGACATGCGGCTTATGGTGTGCCTAGGTTAGGGTTACCTAAATATAATTGGTGGTCTGAAGCCTTGCATGGTGTGTCCAGTACAGGCCCAGGAACTTTCTTTGTTGAAGTTGTTCCTGGTGCAACTAGCTTCCCTACTGTAATACTCACAACAGCTGCTTTTAACGAGTCTTTATGGAAAACTATTGGTCAGGTAATTAGTTTTGTTGCTGTTTCTAGCATTAAAAGTCGATTTTTGCTCATACGGGTTAGCTATTAATGTAAATATTTAACTAATATACGGGTTAGCTATTAATGTAAATATTTAACTAATGCAGGCTGTTTCGACAGAAGCAAGGGCAATGTACAATTTAGGTCGGGCTGGATTAACTTTCTGGAGTCCGGTTATTAATGTAGTAAGGGATCCTCGATGGGGAAGAGCCATTGAAACACCTGGAGAAGATCCTTTCATTGTAGGTAGATATGCTTCTAGTTTTGTAAGATTGTTAAGAGGCTTACAAGACCGTGGGAAGGGACCTGAAAATCACCCAGATCCCAGACTCCAGAACCTCCCAAAGTTTCCTCAAGTTGCAAGCACTTTAGCTGCTATGATCTTTGAAAATTGGAAAATAACACTGAACCCTAATTATCTTTGATGCTAGAGTAATTTTCTTGAAGAAAAACCTTTTTTTTTTTTTTCAAAATTTAAATCATCTTAATTTTCAAAAATGAATGAAGAATTAATTAAAGTTATAACTTAATGCAGCTGCATGAACAAAAATAATCGATAAAACTTTTAATCAACCTTTTCGGATGTGTATAGAGAAGGTGAGTGAGCAGTAATTATGTCGCTCTTTCGATTGTGTTAACGACATACCGGCTTGTTGCCTGATCCAACCAAACTCCTAAAATCAAACGATCAGAGGACAAGTGGAATCTTCATGGGTAAAATATGATCAGCTTGAAATTCATTTATAATTTCTTTATTCTATAACTAATACAACTCAATACGATTTTATTCTTTTTGTGACAGATATATAGTATCAGATTGTGATTCCATCCAAGTTATGGTTGAACGCCATAAATTTCTTGATGACACCAAGGAGGATGCAGTTGCAAGAACACTTAAAGCAGGCTTGGATCTGGACTGTGGAGAATACTAGACCAAAAACACAGAAGCTTCAGTAAAGCAAGGAAAGGTCGGGGAAGAAGACATAGATAGGTCACTTAAATATCTCTATGTGGCGCATCTGAGAGTAGGGTTCTTTGATGGAATCCCTCAATTTCAATCTCTTGGCATCAAAGACGTGTGTTCCGAACAACACATTGAATTAGCAGCACAAGCTGCGAGGGATGGAATTGTCCTGCTAAAAAATAATGATGATACTTTACCCTTGAAGTCTGATACGATCAAAACCTTATTGTTTTCCATTTTATAATTGCATTCATTGAAGGTGTTGACTAACTAATTGATAAAAAAATATTTCTTAATTGTTAAAATCAATTTTCCGTGAAATTAGTAGAAAAGACTTGCATTCATAGAAAAAGAGCATACGTCATTACAACTTTTTGAGAACATCCTAAATAAATGATTTGGTTTAATTTAAACCGTTTGAGTAATAGAAACTAAACTAAAATATTTTCATCATGATTTGCTAAATTTTAAAAAATAAGCCATATATATATAAAATTGATAGATGATTTAAAGCAATATAAAATTGATAGATGATTTAAAGCAATTTAATGCAATTTATATGCGGTTTAAAAATACTTTTCAAATTGGTTTGTAGCCTTTAAAATTAAGGATAATTATGGTTAGGTTTCATGGTTTGAAAATATTTTTTAAATTAAATCAAATTTGAAATCTAATTGAATTAAATTATAATGAAATAGTTTAGTGCTGTAATAAATATTTTTGCATCCATCAATGATAAGTTGAATATAGAAATTTAATCTTGAACTTTGTAATTTTAATCTTGTGATATTTCGAAATTTATAGATAACTTATCATACACGTAAACTTACAAATTTCTATAGTATCACACACCTTTCCGTACTAAAAATATATGTTTTTATAGTTTCTGGCTTTTATATGAAAAATATTAATTTAATATATAATTAGAATAATTTTTGGAATAATGATGATATTTACTTTTCAACTAGGTGTTTAATTGACATAATTTTTCAAATCGAAATGTTTAATAAAATGATTTATAAATTGAAGTGTAACACGTGTAACTTTAGAAATAAATATTTAATAAATTAAAGTAAAATTTGAGGGAGCTATAAATATTTAAAGTAATAAAATTCAAGATTAATTTATGCATTTGGTTATTAATAATATAATGATAAACTTTTATCATAGGACAAAGGATATGCAAGTTTATTTTCCATTTTATAATTGCATTCATTGAAGGTGTTGACTAAATAATTGACAAAAACATATTTCTTAATTATTAAAGTCATTTCCGTGCAATGAGTTGAAAAGACTTACATTCATAGATAAAAAGTATACGTCATTACAACTTTTTGAGAACGTCCTCAATAAATGATTTGGTTTAATTTAAACCGTTTGATTAATAGAAACTAAAATAAATATTTTCAAAATGATTTGCTAAATTTTAAAAAATAAGCCATACATATAAAATTGATAGGTGATTTAAAGCAATTTGATGCAGTTTATATGTGGTTTAAACTGTTTAATAAACGCACATATCTAAAAATATGGGAGAATAACATATAATTAAGTTTTGACAATTATCACTATATTTTATTGTAACGAAACTAGAATTATTTTTAACACCTTAATATAACTAAAATGAATTATAATTTATTTATATTTTTAGCTATAACTATACCTTAATTATTTTTAAAATGTCATTTTTTTAATAAATATTTCTATAACTTTTTTTATGCAAAACTAATCTTATTTTGAGGTTTTAAAATCTCTTTATAAGTGTTTTTTGTCTTCACAAATTAATTTATTGATTTTGCAAAGATTATGCATTAATTTAAGCGTGCTTTATCACTTGAGCTTATGGATAAAATAGAATTGGGAGAGTAATAAGTTTTTTGAGGGATTTTGAAAGAAAGAAAACCAAAAAAAAAAAAAAAAAAAAAAAAAAAAAAAAAAAAAAAAAAAAAAAAAAAAAAAGGAAGAAAAGGAAGAAGAAAGGAGATGTGTTATTACCCAACTGCAAAGAGATTTATTTATTTTTTATTTCATTGACGTAGACTTAGACTTGGTCTTTTGCCGACAATTAAGTGTAGAAATGATGAATCAATTATTCAATTCTTGACTTCTTTCTAGAAAGTCTACATCATAAATTATAAAACATTTCAATGAAATAATTTAATTGGCAGATTAGTAAGCTTTCCAATGGCACAGTGTTTGCTCCTAATCTCAAATATTATTATTTTTTACTTAATTTTATTGGTTTTATTATTGATATATCTCTTCATTCATTTTATCCGTGGCATTTTAAAAGTTTTTTTCATAAAAAAACTATTTATCATTTTGAAAAAAAAAATTAAAGAGTATTAATTAATCTTTTCTGATTTTACTATTATCTCTATTAAACACATCAAATTATTATATCTAATTTCTTAAGAACTTATTATATTATTTTTTTTCTCTTTTAATTTTAATGGGAAATTAATAGAAATAAAACTATTGAAATTAGAGCAATTATGTGAGATAAGGGTTTATTTAATTAATTAAGAAATATTTTATTATAATTTAATGATTTAATTATTTATTTAATTGTCCGTAAAAATATTAAATGATAAATAAAAGTTGACAGGATAATGTGTAAAAAATAAATTTAAAATACTATGTTGCTATGGTACATTAATTTTCTGGAAGAAGTATGTATGGAACAAGCAACTGATGAAATTAAGGAATTGGTCGTCTTCAAGATTTGGTCTTCCACGTGAAATAGACAAGTTTTGTCCTAATTAATTGTAATTTAGTGTTTGTAATTATTTTCAATATTGACAAATGTACATAACATAAAATAAACAAATGCAAAAGAAAAATAAAAAGAAACAAAACAAGAAAAACAAACACTAACACCAAAAGACACCTTCTTAATTATATTCCATTAAACCTGCTAATTAACAATAATATTCAATTATGAGTATGAAATGTGCCAAATTTAGCTGACTTTTACATCTTAATAATAATATGAACATAGAAAACTAAAGTCCAGGAAACCTGCTCTACTGACAATAATGAAAGAGGAAAAGATATCAAATGTACTTATGTTTAGGGGCGTGAAAAACCACGACCGAATATAACAAAAATTGAACTAACCCATTTTAGTTCGATTTACCGGTTAGTCGGTCTCAACAGAATTTGTTGGTTAGTTTGAATCTGTTTCATAGAACTGAACCAACATGGCAAAAACAGATAAAAAAAATTGGCTAGACTAAATGGTTTGATTCGGTTTGATTTAAATGCCAATATTAGTTTGATTCAATCCGTCGTCCAAAAATCTCAATTTGCATTTTGGCCTTGATTTGGTTCAGTTTACCGCTTGCTCACCCCTACTTATGTTAGAGAGGGTGAAGAGAGAGAGGAATTCAATAATAATAATAATAATAAAAATTAGCCTTTTATTTTAATATATTTTAAAAAATTTTTATTTTCTATTTAAATTTTAATCATCCAATATAATTACAATAAACTTGTCGAGTTAGGTCCAATAATAGAAAAAATATTCTGGTAAATACAATTACAATAACAAATCAAATAGTATAAGGTTCAGAAGTTGTATATATAAAATTTTGTTAAAAGAAAACAAAATATTTTTCAAATTTAGGAAATTGATGATAATGCAAAACTACCTACGTTGAACATCTATATCGTATCAAATGAATAAGGAGAAAATTTGAGGGGCCATAAAATAGAAGCACATCTCTTAATCGAAATTCAAATGTTAAGATTTTTGGAACTTTGGAGATTCAAATTGGATATGATGCGATGAAGATTTTTTTCTTCAGACAGACATAAAGATTTAGAAGAAATTATTATTATTATAATATATATGATAGTCATAAATGTTGGTCTATGTCAGGAATTCTTCTTTAAGAGTTTATCTTGATTTAGATTCTTCTTACTCTCATTTTAATCTATTGACTTCAATCAAACAATAGATTTCATTCAATAAAATCGATATATCATAAAAGTTGATAGGTTTGTACATATATTGGTATATGACATTAATTTAATTTTATACTTTTTTTTTTTAAAAAAACTTTTGCGATACATCCAATCTTTTAATCTGTTGAACATTTTAATTATAAAATTGTACATATTAATATTTCAACTTATAAAATCATTTTATTAAATATTCTAATTTTTAAAATCGATTAAACATTTATTGAATAATCCATAATTGACTTGTAAAGATCATTACTATCATAATGTCAATATATGTGGATTCATTTCCATTGGTATTTGTTGCATGTATGTAAACCTCATCTTACAATAATAGGTATAAGATGAGTTCACACAAGAGTTTAATTTTTGGCCAATGAGATTGAAAATGTTACAATAAAGCTGCAAAGTTCGACAAATCTTGGGGTTATATCTGCCAATGGAGATGTAACTTCTGTTTTTTTTTTTTCTTTTTTTCGTGAAAACCATCCTCAC